AAAGCAAGGGAAGAGCAGGAAGAAAAGGCCAGCGGGTGCCAGGAGCTGGAGGCAGGGTTTAACCCTCAGCCCGGCTGCCCTGAAACCTCAGCTCCAGCGCGGGATGAACAACGCGGCTTCTGTGCGGGGCCGGCACGCGAGCGCGGAGGCGGGGGGGAGGCGTGCGAGGCCCCCGCACCGCACAGACCAGCCCTTGTTCCCCCGTACAAAGGGGACGGCGGCCCGTGGAGGGGCGGGAGAGGCCACCGGGGCGAGGGGAGCTGCCCTGGCCGGGCTCTCCGGGGCACGACGATGGCTCTCCACGGGGCTGGTTTCCCACGTGGGGCTGGGATGGGGATGCAGGAGATGCTGTGCGGGATGGGGGTCTGGACCATAGCATCCACAGGGCAGGAGGTAAAGCAGAGCACAGGGCCCAAAGCAAATGCTGCCAGGGAACAGGCGGGAGCCAAACACCCGGGGTTTGCTCTGCAGCACCATAACCAGACAAATCTGGAGGGTTTTGCTATTTAAATACAATGCATAATTGCAGACAAAGGGGCCATGGTGGATACAACACACCGGGGTTTTGGCGAGGCATCTGATACACAGTGCCACGCAATATCCTAAGGGGGAAATTAAATCAAGCCAGCATGGACAGAAATACGATTACATGGATCAAGAGCCAGCTATTGAACAGCAAGAGGAAGGTAATTAATTAGACATGGTGGCCTGTCTAAAGGGGGATGGGAGGAGAGCAGCCTGGGACAGTTATCAATCGGAGCTTCGTTAAGACGGCTGCCACAAACGGCCTTAGAGGAGGGAACAGGGGGATGTTTGAGGCAAGCAACAGCAGAGCCCTGGGAAAGGACCCAGCAACGCCAGGGACAGCCCACAGTGGATAAAACAAGGCTGAAGGGGGATAAATCAGAGCCGAGGCACAGGAGGGATGTAATAACCCCAAATATTGAGCTCAGGGTGAGAGGAAAAGCCTCCAAGAGCTGCGAGGAGATGGGATGAGCTGTCGTGGCATGGAGGGACTGGCCGTGCTTTGCAAAACCTGCTGGGGCCGCACAGCCGGGGCACGGCCAGGGCGGGAAGGGGGAGAGGCGCTGGGGCCGCATGAGACAGACATTTTCGGGGGGCTTCCAGCACCAGGGGAGAGTGGGAAGAGGATTTCAAGCCGTGCATGGGAAACTTTGCAGTCAGCCCCCGTGTTTGCAAGCAAGCAGCCACCCACGGCCTTACAGAGCACCGTGAGCAGGGCTGAGCGTGCCCCGTGGGTGGCTGCATGGGGACCCCGGCTCAACGGTGCAGGGTGGGGGGACAGGACGGGGAGGAGGAGGAAACCGGGGTGGCCGGGATCCCCGGCACTGGGGAAACCCAGTTTCAAGGGTGAGGACGGAGCTGTCTCACTGCAGCGCCGGGGGGATCCGGGCTCTTCTCCGAAGGGCAGCTGGTACGTGGGGGCAGGACGGCATCACGTGAAGCGTGCTGAGGTGTAGCCACCCACATCACGGCACCCACTCAGCCCCGCTGGCCCCGGTCCCATCACCCTGCCTGGCTGCAGGATCCCCCCAGCTGCCCCAGAAACGGGGGTGGGGGAAGCCAAAAGCGCTGCCCTCTCCCCCTGGGAAACTCCCGAGAAGGGGAGCTGCCGAGGGTGAGGATGGGGAAGGGTGGCCAGAGCCGGGCCCGATAAGGGGAGGGGAGAAATTAGGTCAGGTTTAAAATAACCTGCTTGGTTCTGCTTGGCTTCCCCCCGCCCCCCGAAACACTGAGCAGCTTCTGCTTTCGCTCTGAGTCAGCCCCGGCGGGAGGGCGGCAGCCGGCGGTGGGAAAGGATGGGGACCCGGCCCGTGCCACGGTGCAGGCACCCCACCCCCGGGATGCATCCCGCCATCCCTTGGTCCAGGGGGCAGAAATAAAGCACGCGGGACAGCGGCTCCATCTGGGATGCCTGGGAAGGTGAAAGATGTTAGCATCCCAGAAAAAGCACACCCAGCGGCTCGCCCGCTGAGCCGGAGCCGTCCCCATCCCAGGGGCAGCCCCAGCTTGGTCCCCGCCTGGAGGGGAGCCCAGCGAGGGTCCGTCCCAGTGCACGGGCATCGGCTTGCCTGGCTCCAAGCAGGCAGCAGGGCCGGCCAGGGCATGCCCGGGCATTGGGTTTCCCAGCGGGCGCTGCCAGGGCACCTGCTGGGGACATGTCCCCATCGGTCACGGAGAGGGAAGAGCAGAGGAGGGGAGGGAGGAAGGTGGTGGGAGGCCCAGGGTGGCTGATGGAGCAACTGGAAGGGGAGGGAAAAGAGGGGCTGAAGGGCGGGAAGGTAGGAGGGAGCAGGGAAAGGGTGGACGGCCCCAGCAGCTCTCCACACCCCGACTCCACCTTTCCTGTCTGGAGAGCAGGGACTGGTGGCAGGGGGGACACAGGATGGCTCTTCCATGCCTGGAGCAGCCGGTACCCAGGTGGGCCCTCGACCCCCTGCCCATGGCACAGGGTGCGCTGCCCAGCGCTGACCATCGGCAGGCTGCCCATCGGCAGGAGAAGCCACGGAGCCGGGCTAATCCTGACCCCCGCTGCAGCCCCCAGCTCCGCGGGGCAGCCCAAAGCACCGGCCCGTCAAGCCAGGAAGACAGGGAAAAGGGAGTGATTTCCCAAAGGAAACTCTTCCTGTGCTCCAAAAACAGAGACCCTGCCCCTGCCTCCTTGGAGTGGGGGAAAAAGCTAATCCCACTTTGCTGCAGGATCGCATCCTAAGCCAGAGCCGTGGGCTCCATCAGCGCCTGGGGGCTGTCCAGGCACCAGCCGTGCTCCACCGCCGCACACCAGACCCACCGCTGGGACAGCGCGCAGGGCCGGAGCCAGGGAATTAATCTCCCTTCAAAATATCTCGCTGCTATTTAGCGACACGGTTATTTCTGGACCTTTCTTGCTTTTCTTCTGGGGGTGTTATTTCATCAAGAGCCCAACGCACTCCCCCCGCATCGGGGCGGCACTCGGGGGTGGCTCCAGCCAGAGAATCCCCAGTGGCACCCAGAGCTGCCCTGACCCTCGCTTGTCCCCCGCAGGACTTTGCACGGCCCCGAGCTGTCCCCTGTCCCCATGGGAGCCCAGCGTCACTGCAACCCAGGCTGTGACAGCCGCCCTGCCCCCATGGGAGCCCAGCGTCCCTGCAACCCAGGCTGTGACAGCCGGCGGTGCGGGGTCGGCTGCTCAGCAACCGCCGGTACTTTCTGGAGTGACATCAGGTGCTGCTCCGCAACGCGCGGGGCCGGGCTGCTGCTGGACCCACTGCAGAGCACTGGCGTGGGGCACCCAGTACCACCCCGAAGGGAGAAAACACCCGGAGCCGTGCCGCTGTCCCCGCGCCCACGCGGCACCCCACCGCCTCCTCCCCGAGCGCATCGCTGCGCCCAGGTGTGGGTTAGAAATAAAAGCTGCCGTGAAGAAATAAAAGCTGCCGTGAGGCAGTTTCCAGATTTAGCCCCTGCAAAATACAGGGGGATCGCGTTACCCTCCCTGGGCAGCCCACAGGGAAGCAGCGCCCACGCTGCCTGTCCTGCCTGCAACGTCGGAGCACACGCACACGCTCTGCAAACGCAACACATCGCCTGCCCACCCCTCTGAAAGCTGGAGGGAGAAGAGGGGAGCGATGTCCCGCTCAGCCCCGGAGATGGAGCTGAGAAGCCCCAAACTCGTTGCACCAAGGAGCCGCCTGCCCAGCCCCGCTCCCTCACGTGTGGTTATTTCCCGGTCAATCGTGGCCATTTATGAGTGGAAAAATCAATCAGCAGCTTGAGCCAGGAGCGGGGACCCCTGGGGAAGGAGGGGAGCCAGGCGGGGGCCGTGCCGCCCACCCGCCTGCCGCTCTGGGCTGCTTCATTGATAACCAAGAGGGCAGTGAAAGGAAAGGGAGAAGAAAGAAGTGAAAACAGCTCCGCTTCTTGCTACTGGCAGCAAGCGTCCGCCGAGCCTTCCTTCCTCGTTTTTCGTTTTCAAATGCTGCGGGGGGGCAGAGCCGCAGGGGCGGCGAGCGAGGGAGCCCAGCGCACCCCAGCCCGGGCAAGGCGAAGCACCCGCTGCTGTTTCGGCGCAGGCAGCGGCTGGCTGGGTCCGGGCAGCTGGGAGCCCAGCAGTGTTTGCTCCGTGCCGAGTTTTGCTCCAACAGCACTGAGCTGCCACCCCACCGGGCACCCGCAAAGCCAGCCCATGGGTGCCCGCAGCCCAGGGACGGGCTCCGCTGCCACCCTGCTGCATGGGGAAGGGGGACGACGGGGCAGGGGTTACCTGGGCGCGGGATGGCGGGGCCAGGGGGTTCTCCGGGCGCTGGGGCCAGCAATTCGCAGCTCCTCCGTGCTCCTCGCTGGGGCCAGCCCAGCTCCTACGCTGGCCCCGCGTTTCCTCATTTTCAGGACCCTGCTTTTAACGCAGCAGCAGCCACACGGGGTGCAGGGGGGGAAGTTGCAAAAAACCTC